CTGAGGTTCTTGGATGAACTGAAAAACTTCAAACATCAAAGGAAAAGTTGAGTTTATTTTCTTTAAAGCTCAGGTGGAACTTGATGGACTGACATTGAAGGCTCCGTTCTGGACTTTGTCACACTGGTACATGAAGAGAGGTACCAAGCACAAGAGTGTGCACTGTACACACACACAGCGTCTCAATGCAATGCTTGCTCTTCAGCTGGTGTCACTTAGCAGTTTTGTCTTCCTGCACAAGCAGAGGTTTTTGCTTGGGAAGTAACCGTGACCTGGTTTTCAGAGATTTCTCTAACATTTAATGGTCGTGAAATATGTCAAACTTTTCTCCCCTACCTAAAATTAAACAGCTAAGAGCATCTTGAAGACAGCAGAGAAAATAGTGGCACTGAGGATTTTGAACTATGGCACTCAATATGCCCTACCTCCACCCTGATTGGAGGATAACTGCACTTACAACAGTCATGGACATTACACCTTATTTATAAACCGTATTTCTATTGATGTTGGTTGCATACTTCAATGCAACCAACATCCTTACCTCTTTAAACTGTATTTATTATAGTTGCAACTATATATTATAGTTGCAACAGCAACCCCCCCCCTCAATGTGCAATATCACTGATCACACTGCACCTCTCAATGCACCAGCACCTCAGATGGCATGTATTTATATGTATATATATGTAAGCGTGTATGTGGAAATATGTGTGTGTATGTATGTACGCATGCATACATGTATATATACATATATGTATGTATGTTGTCGGGTGAGAAGGGGGTGTTTTATTTTTATTTTAGCATCAGCATCAATATTATATCAGAATCATTTAACAAGCATTGCATTAAACATTGATTGAAGCTATTGATATTACATTAACATTTGTATTACAGTGATTGCTATAACCTGGTGTTAATCTTTTACTTACAGGTGTCAGAATAATCATATTATCTTTCATTGCAGGTGTAAACATGATCACCTTATACACATTGCAGTTTGTTGCTTATTATAGAGTTGTGCCCAAGTTAATAAAGGTCAAAAACTTCAGTCGGCGTTATGACTGGCTGATCCATGGTGGGGGATGACTGTGGGCCCAGGAGGTTGCACGCGCTTACATAACACTGATATCATGTGATTCTTTGTGATTTTTTATCTAGTTATATCTTTTCATTAAGTTTTTAAGTAGTGGTAGTTAATTAAACCAACATTCATTTAATATTGCATGCCTGATTCAGCGTATTATACACAGGTCAACTTGATAATTTGCAAAACCTTGCAGCTGTAATGTTGTGTCTCCGTAAGGGACAGTTGGCTCTAAGGAGATGAGTGGGAGCCAGTGTCTGTCCTCGAGACGAAGAGAATGTTCCTTTGCTGTGTCTAAAGTTGTCAATATTGACTGTATTGTACCACCTGTACGCATGAGGGGGCGTTCTAATACCCTGATTTTCATAAACAATGGTTGTGTGGTGTCTGAAGCGAGATTTGATGCTGTCTGCTGTATGGTGTCCATCTCCCACGCGTGTGTTCATTAAATCATCGTTTGACTTGACCCGGCCGGACCAGTGTGGTTATTTTTGGTTTTCCTCTTGCATCCATCCCCAATATTTGAATCCGTAACAATGTGCATGTATGTTTGTATGGGTGTATCCGTATGTTTGCAGGTGTATGTACAACCTGTACATATCTTTGTTGTGTAAATGTAAATTTGTGTGTGATTGTGTAAATACTTACGCTATTGTGTACTTCACACACTTGGAGAAATGTCAAACAGCCTTTCATTGTTCTTGTAACAGTGACAATAAAAGTTATTCTATTCTTCTATTCTATTCTATTCAAGCGATGTCACTGCTGAGGATTTTTGGACACAGGAGGAGTGTGTACACAGATCCTTATTGACTCAGCTGCCGTCTACACTTCTAATGTCTCCATCAGAATAAGCACTTCTAATTGTACTTTGCTCATGTTTTATTCTGTGTTTTATTTATTATATGTCCTGTTCTAATAAACGTAAATTTCAGGAACACCTTCTTTAGATCTGTTCAGTTTTATTCATAGAGCACCACTTAACAATCAACAGTTCTTGTCTCAAAGCACGTTATATTGTAAGGTAAAGATAATCTGGGACAAATGTTCACTCGGATTCATTCATGACGTGAATGCAATTCTGTAATCAAAGGTGTGTTTTTGGACATAACTGACTACATGTGTATACTGTATCATGAGTGCACAGACATGGATGTAAACCACAAATTAACTGTTTGTCTGAGTCAAAACAACCATAGCAGTGATTCTAGCTTAAAGGTGCTCTGGATATTGTTAAATATGCAAATATGGTTAGGTCCATAAATATTTAGACAGAGACAACTTTTTACTAATTTTGGTTCTGTAGATTACCATAATGAATTTAAAATAAAGAACTTAGGTGCACTTTGCGGGCAATGACAGCCTGAAGCCTTTACTGCAGCAGCTTTCAGTTTCTCTTTGTGGGCCTTTCTGTCTGAAATTTAGTCTTCAACAAGTGAAATGCATGCTCAGTTGGGTTAAGATCAGGTTGGCCATTCAAGAATATTCACCTTCTTTGCTTTAATAAACTGTTGGGCTGCTTTGGCTGTATGTTTTGTGTCATTGTCCATCTGTATTATGAAACACTGCCCAATCAGTTTGATTGCATTTAACTGGATTTGAGCGCACAGTATGCATCCCAGTCTCTTTGTGTTGCTGAGTTCACCCGTTTTTTTTCTGTATTTCACAGGATGGACCAAACTATAGATTTTGCCACTCCTAATATTGTAGCAATTTCTTGAATGGTTTTTTTCTGTTTTCGCAGCTTAAGTATGGCTTGTTTCACCTGCATTGAGCGCACCTTTGACTGCATGTTGTTTGTTCACAGCACAATCTTCCAAATGCAAGCACCACATGTAACATGGTAGACTAAATGTGCCTGTGTTAATTCAGCTCCATATTATTGTGTGAAGTTGCACTGGGTTGGGAGTGGTTTTGTGTGTGTGTCACATTTTTGGTGAGCCAATGGCTAGAATGGGGTTGGACTAATTAGAGGCAGGTGTACTTGATTGCACTGATACACTGGTCTACTTATAGCCCACACTACAAACACTGCTGTGTCGTTTTGTCTCTCTGTGCAGGTATGTAATGTGATAAAATCTGATATGTTTGGGATGGATGGGTTTTGCGCTATGAATTTTATACTGAAGGTGTCGTTTTCTCTCTCTGTGCAGGCCAGGGCCTATTATATGCCACAGCCTAAAGGCAGCAGAGTTGCGGAGGCTGGAGTAACCACTGGCTATATGCTTGCAGGGTGGTGGGTCTCCAAGGACAACTTTTAACCTTGTTAAAGGCAACACGTGGAGTGCAACTGGCCGTGTGGCATAGCTGGCTCTGGCCTTGGGACTGGGTGTGTCTATTTGATTCATAAATGGGACACTGGACTGCTTTCTTTTATCTCTTGATATTTGTCAATAAATTGTCTTTTAGAATTTTATTGACTGTCATCTTTTTGCCCACGACTGAGACAGTTGGCCAGACCTAAAATCTTTCTTTAGGTGTGTTACACCACACCTTAAATCAACTCCAAGCCTTTTATCTGCTTAACTGACAATGACATAATGAAGGAATTACCCAAACCTGCCCGTGAAATAGCCTTTGAGCCAGTTGTCCAAATACCTTTGGTCTCTTATAAAAGACACATGTTTCAGTAAACGGGTTTAAAAAAAAACAAAAAACAAAAACTAAACTTGTGTCAGTGTCCAAATATATATATGGGCCTAACTGTACTGTTATTTTTTTTTCTTTTTGTCAGTGTTTGTCAGATGTCCTGTTTAAAGAAAACACTTGAATGCGAGTACATATATATATACACATTTACATAGCGACAAAGTGACTTCAAAGAAAATAAAAATGCTCAAATTTTAAAGATTGTGAGTTATTTTGTTCATGTTATTGGCTGTTAAGTCGTTTTATGACGAGATGGATGTCATTATAATTTGGTATAGTTTTCGAGTTGAATCCTTCCAGGAAAGGTTGTTTGATGTGCACTGTCATAAACTATAACCAGCAAACTATTGCTTTGTGACTGCTGGGGGTGAAATCAAG